AGAAGGAGGGAAGAGTTAAATAGGTAGAGAACTTGGTTCAGCTCAGGATGCCCACAGCGGAGGCAGAGAATGGAAAACTGGAGGATGGAGAGACTGCACCTTGTCAGATGCATGAGTCTGGTGTCCAACTTGGTGCGATAGCCTGGTGGGTCTCCCTTAAAGTCATTTTATCACAGCATAGGCAGATGGCTCAGGCAAGGGATACAGCAAGGGGTGGGGCAGGGACACTCGGTATAGTAGGGAGCTAGTGCAAGTGTTGAGTATCGCCTGCCCCTGCATTCCTCAAAGAGCCTCTGGCTTTGCAAGGGTTCAGAAGAGGAGATCCCGGTGTACACATGCAGCCAGAGCTTTTCTTAGTCACCGGCTCCTTGATTTCAGTCCCTTCCCTTTAGCTGCCTAGTCCTTTCCTGGCATCTTCTCAGGTACCCCCGCCCAATCAGGACTAAATCCCGGAGAAGTGGAATCTCCACAAGATTTTCGTGGGTCTAGCAGGGGCCTGGGCATGCTCAGTAGGCTACGTGACTCTGGTTCTTCTCTCTCTCTCTCTCTCTCTCTCTCTCTCTCTCTCTCTCTCTCTCTCGGGAGGGTGGCGACTGACTAGTTAGAAGTGCTTGTGGCAAGTCTCCGCCCCCAGATTCCCCCTGCAAAGGGACGATGCAAAGGTAGAGGCACCTTGCTTCTCAGCGTCTGAACTTGGAAGGGGCTGCGGCTGCCAGCTGAGGCCACCGGCTCACCAGCCAGAGGACCGGCCGGCCGCTCTCCATGGTACTGCGGAGAGCTCAGCTCCGCCCTTCTCTTTCAGAAGGACAGCACCCGGCGTCACGTAACCCAGCCTTCTCAGGCTTCACCACCGCCTCTTCCTCCCCCTTTTCCCTCTCCTCCTCCTCCTGCTCCCCCGGCTGCTCCCCTCCGTTGCATGTTCTTCCCTTCCGCACTCTTGGAGATAGACGCTCAAGCCTGACGCCTCGGAAAAAGGCAGCAGCAGTCGCCCTATCCTTAGACCTCAGGAAATTCTCTTTGACCGATTCATGCTTCGGGCTCTGGCTGGAGCTAAGGGGAATAACCAGGCAGGTAAGGGAGCCCAATTGGGGCTGGGGGAGGGGTGGGGCGAGGCAAGCTGGAGAAGGGTATCTTTCCCTGTTGTAACTGGGCCAGGATCTGCCACAAACACAGAGGGAAGGATGGGTGGTGGGAGGGTGGAGGAGTATAGATTTTGCTTGTTTTGCATGTAGCCTTTCAAACGGCAAAAAGACGAGATGGTGGAACTAGGTAGTAACTTAAAGGATAAATGCAGTGATTTATTATCCAAAGAAAGAAAGGGGAAAGGCAGTTAGAAAGCAAAACAATCAAGTAAAACATATCTACATCTCTTTCTTTCTCTATCTACCCTGTCAGTCCTGACTGTGCCCACCCTTAATCTGTGCGATAGACTTGAGACTCCAAGAAACTGCACTGGTGTTGGGCATGGTGTTCAGAGACTGGGCGGGAAAGCCAGAGAGAATTTTGGGTGTGCATTGGTATTGAGGTACTTTGCAAAAGGTAGAGGCAAAAAGATAAAACTTACAATATTTCTCTCATAGATTTCAGGTTCTTTATATTCTTATATATTGAAAGGTTTTATGGTAAGGTTGTGTGTGTGTTTGTGTGTGTGTGTGTGTGTGTGTGAGAGAGAGAGAGAGAGAGAGAGAGACAGAGACAGAGACAGAGACAGAGAGAGACTGAGAGAGACAGAGAGAGACAAAAACGGAGAGCATGTGTGTGTCACTGAAAACATGATAAAATAAATGCAACTGCAGGCAATCAGCATACTGTATTGATCCTTCCAGTGACTTGGGAATGAATTTTGTTCTAGAAACGAAAGAAAAGATTAATGAGGCTGTTAGGCAGCTTTTGAATTAGAGCGCTTCTTGTTTTGGCTGCAGTATGGTTGCTTTTCAGATCCCTTTATTTCATCCTCTAATTTGTGAACTCTCCAGGTCTTTTCTGGGCCCCGAGAGAGCAAGAGAGAAACCTCTTTCTCCACATAAATACATATACTGTCTCTCACACAATGAGCTTCTGAGCTTCCTTTAGAAATTGGGAGAGCCAGTTGACCTCCCTTTGTAGAAGAAAATATATATATATATATATATATATATATATATATATATATATATA